TACACGCGAGCTATAATACACCCGGGCCGGAGGAATAATCATACGTATCTAGTTTCTGGTTCGAATCAATGTTTGCAATTGTGGACTACTTGGAAATGTACGGGCCTCCGTGGAAGCGTTTTATACATAGTGGCACGAAATCGGTGAAAAAAGAACGCCTCAACCGGTTTTAACTTCTTTTCCCATTATTAGATAACGATCGCCTCTGCAAGACGCATACCTTCCTTTCCTCTGTTCTTTCCAACTGTTTTTTCGAATCGTGCTTTACGTGTTCGTTTATGTAGATCTCTCATCGAATTCGAGGGATCGATGTCTTTCGAACGAACACCGTCACGAATCTCTCGTCTCGCTTCTCGAGTTCTCGATTTAATGATTTTTAATCGTCGTATCTGATAAAAAGCGTACGTATTTTCTCCCGCTCCTTTTATATATCTCATCTGGGTAATTACGTATTTGAAAGTCAAAAGTAAGTACAAAAATGATATTTATTTAATATGAATGTGGATCTAAAAATCTATCAAAATACGATCAATTAGCAATATCTTGTTTTTCGTTATTAATTTGTATTTTTTTTTTTTTTCAATGAATTCTCAATACGTGCAACATAAAGTAAGATTTATTAAATGAATATTTTATCTTCAGAAAGCAATATATTTTTTCAAAATTACTTTTGACTTGAGCCATAATATATTTTCCTTATCGTTATGAGATTGCTTTTAACAATGTCATGTTGCGACAAAACTAATGCATTCGTGCGTCATTGGTTTGGAGTTGCGCTATGGAATCGGAATTATTCCGAACAGGTTACGCAAAACAAGAATCATTATTCATAATTCATGATACTAAAAGTTAAATTTTTATAGAAATAGAGGTGTTCTTTCTTTTGTTCTTCTTTTTTTTTTTTTTCAACAAAACGTTAAATATACACGTTTATATTTGTCATTTTGCTCGTCCAGAAATAAATATTCTAATCTTCCGTTAAATATTCCAAAAAATCAAGTACGCGACAACGATAAGTATTTTTAATTTTTACAAGGCTCATAATGACTCATGACAGAATAATAAAATATATACTATCTCTTCCTTTTTTCTTTCACCGATAAAAGCTCGTGTAATATGCGTACATGATCATGATATATGTACAGGTAAAGTGCATATTCCTTACATATGCATATGCATATTCGAACGCATATAATATACAAGAACCACTTTCAGTGCGCTAAGTGCACGGAGCACACATGACAAAGTGTATGTATTTTCCTAATTAATTTAAGATAACATCCCCGTCTTTCAAGAGTGGAATAATCTATATCTTATATGTGATTTCATTGAGAAAAAAATCGTGATAAAGATATATAAAATGTGATTCGAACAATCGACGATATATAAAATACTATAATCGATATATACACACTATAATTTTTATTGCTGTATTTTGCAAATTTAATCGAAAAGATCTTAATCATAGAATTTATTGTTAATAATATTTTATTGCTGTGTTTTTGAAAGATTGAAAAAATCTTAATCGTAGAATTCATTATTATTAATGAAACAGATAAAATTTTCAAGATCTATCTTCTACATCGAAAAAGTGGTGAGATTAGAAAGCGGATTAAAATTATCGTCGATCAATCGTAAAATAATCGATATTTTATTGCTGTGTTTTCTCAAGAATTGAAAAAAATCTTAATTGTAAGATAATAAAAAAAGAGATAAAATTTTGAAATTCCCTATTATTGGAAACTATGATATTATCCATTTAAATAATATAATTACGATATTGGAATGTTGGAATGTTTTTTGAACAAACATTAATCATATCGTTGAATATTTCATTTGATAATAAATCTCATTTTCAACGAGATGGAAATTTAAGAAGTTGTAGGTGGATTTAAGAAGTTTAGAATTCACGGAAGAAGCGTTGCTTGACGAGCGTACGCTCATGACCTACTTCTCTTTCACGTTTACTTCATCGATTACACGTATATATATATTTTTTTTTGAAACTAAACTTTTTCGCCTTCGTGACCACGATCGTCCATCTCTGTGCTTTGGACCAATCCTTGTTCCGTCACAACCGAAATTGTAACCTGCATTCCTACGTTATGATCACACAGTGCGACATTTTAACAATTTAGTGAAGCGAAATTGAATTTTTAGAAGTCTAGAATTATGCAAAGGGCAAAAAGTTATTTTCCACGAATGGTATCTATCATAAATCAGATCATGTTGATCATTCAGAATTATTGTCAGAATTAAATTTTCTTTTTTTAAATTAGAAGATTTGATATTCTAATAATAGTTGTTTTTTAATTAAAAATTTAATTTTAGAAATGTTGGAAATTATAAACAAACTTTTAGTTTGCAAATTTTTCTTCGAAGGTTGGATTATTTTTAAATAAAAAATAAGAGCGTGCATTTTTTTCCTTGAAAATTTTTTTGTAAAATAAGTCTGTTTTTAGAATGAGATTTTTAAAATTAATGTCATAATTGTTGTATATATAATTATATAAAAAATTATAGGATTCATTTAATTATTTCAAATTTTTATGATGAAAAATAAATAGATATTACTTCTTGAAGCCATAAATTAATTTTATTTCATATTACGTTTGAAATAAGGTAACTAATTTTTTAAAACTCTATTTATATATTTTATTTTTCTCTGTTGTTTTCTTTTGTGATAATATCGTTATATCTGGCAAGTTAATATATTATTTCTAAGGTTCTAATTAACTTGATTAATATTTTTAATTAACTTGAACAAAAATTGTATATATCAATAATTATTTCCATTTCTGCTCGTACATGTTTACATTTTATTCCTTCCAATTGTTTTTCATCAACATTCACACGAATAATACGCTTTTTATTAATATAAAAATTAATAGAAAAATTCGTAAAAATAAAAACTATTATTGTCTTGTTAGATTGCTAAAATATACCGTGAATACGTCGTTGCACCTGGTGCATACATCTTGGCAATCAGGAGATCAGCCATTGGCAACGCGAAGCAAAAAGGATTTACATATATTGCGAAAACGACGATTACGTATAGCAATATATATGTGTATGTGTACGTATATACACATGCAGATATAAGAGATAATATATATTTCCCAAAGGACCTGTTGGCGACATGCCAATCCTAGATGTATCCTCGCGTCGTCGTCTTCATCGCAATGCCGACGCTTTATGGCGCAGAAATGAGAAAAGCCTGGCCTCTAGCGTTTCGCGGGAATGCATCTCATTGATCCATTTAAATCACAAGTATCCGGAGACGTATGTATGTCATCGTGAATGTTAGATATCACTAGATATTCGATATTTTCGTAGGATCGGTCTAGTTTTTCAACAATCTCGACTTGATCTCGGCTTTAAAGCCGATATCGTTGAAAAGAACGTGGATTTCCTTTTTATTCGTCGAGATTGATACCAGAGAAGAGTTACACGAGTGTAAATATTGCCTCGTACAATGAACTATTTGTCATTTTTATTGTACCGGTTCAGATAGAGATTTTCTGAAAACTATCGTATTATAAGTGATATGAATGTATATGAAACTATATATGATATACATTTGTAGGTTGTTATTCATCAAAAGAATTTTGTATTATTACGTGCAATTTTATTCAATATGTGTTTGTTCGCATCTATAGTTTTTTAAGTTCTAGATTTTTCTTAGACTCGAGAAACACGATAACTTGTTTTAACGTTGGAATTTATTTTCATTTAAAGAAATTAAGATTTACATATTTCTTTAATAGCATAATAATATTGAATATTTATTATTTTAATATCCTTTTCTTTATTTCATAAATAATCAAAAATGAAAATTTCTTCAATAATTTACCTTAAAAATGTTGTTACTTTAAAAATATCAACATATTATTATATTTATTAAATTAAATTAAAATATAAAAAAATGTAAGTATTGAGTAAATAAGAGATGAATATTTTTCGTATCTGAAAAGAATCATCTAAATTAGAACTTCGAGTTAAATTTATACAATTATATAAATATACGATTATAAGAAAAAAATAAAAGCAATGATTGAGCTGAACTTTGCTCCTGTGATTCACTTTTTCTTTGTTGCATTGTTCATTATTCGAATAAAGATAATAAAAAATAATAAATAACTAATAATTACATTATTCTTACAACATTATTTTTTATATTTTTATTTAATTCATTTCATTGTTATTTTTTAACATGGTCTTTTAAATACTCGTTTTTAAAAAACAAATCCAAGACATTCTTAAAAAACTAGATAAAAAAAAATATATAAAGATATTTTTATATCATTTTCACGATTATATGAAGAAGAAGAAAAAACGAAAACGTGTTGTTATCAAATAATTTATGTGATGTAATTATGTAATTATGTAATTTTATGTATGGTCTAGAGCATGCGATATTTTACCTTTACTACCAATAAATTTCATATTTTGTTCAACAATGAAAAATATTGCATAACATCATTCTCTATTTTAAACTTTTTATAACGCATATGTACATATATAGAAACACGCAAAGAATAGTCATCTCGAAAGAACAGGAAATGCGACAAAGTGTGCAAACTCCGTATTTCTTCATCAACAAGCATCTATCGATCTTTTACGGCAGACATCGAGATAGAAAAAGTATTGAAAAAGAAAAAAGAATAAAGAAAAATTCACGCATTCCATACACTAGGTCTCGGTATCGCTGTGTTCAATCTTTCACTGTAGATATGGACAGCTGAGGTAGAAAAGAAGTACCACGAAGAATTCGTATATAAAACTCGTTGCAATACTGGACAGTAGAACAGACGTGTAACAGACATGTTGAGAACAATGACGGATAGATTTACTCGACAGATAGAACAAGGACAGTGAACGAAAGCGATCAGACAGAGAAACAAATACAAGAAGGGAGGGGAGAAAGTCTTTGGATTTCGTTTAATCTTCAATGCGAAATACAGAATGAGTACGCGTCAGTAGCACGACATTCGTGGAGTGAATAGTATCGTTATTTTTCGTTCGGTGTCCAATATACATTTAATGTTCTTGTTCTAGTTCTCTAAATACATAGTTTGTGTATTAAGAATGCTATAAACTTTACCGATTACAACTTCAATGAGAAAGTAGATATAGTTCAGATTTTCGATAGAAGGTGAGCGGTTGAAAGTTGTACGTTGAAAGTACGATGTTCGAGACCGTTCGTTCGAAAGGCTATCGATTTTGACACAGTAATTATCTACGATAGCACAGAGAGGGAAAGTTAAAGGATTTCAGTGACCTTTCATTCAGACTCGTTTTACCGTGCATCCGTTATTGTTGCGTTTCTACATGCTCATATATGCATATGTAGTACATAGGCATCGATCTCAAATGAGTGAAAAATCGAACACGTCTTTCCTATATCTTTTAATTATACCATCGTTAGTTTGTTTACTTTCCTCGTGCTATTTATATATCACTTGATAATTCGACCTATAATATATATACGTAGATCGTGTTATTCCTTACTATAGAAATCAATATCATCGATTGTGTTAAGATGTGATTATAATGGTTTATAATTTTTTATATAAAATCAGTGAATCAAATAAAAATTGTTTCTTATTTCATTTTTCTTTCCAAAAAGAAAACTTTGGCAATTAGCAAAATTGCTTCATTATCATTTGGAAGCAATTTAAAGACGCGTTCGATATTGTTGTCAGTTTACAGCGCCACCAAAGAAAACAGCATTCCGTTTACCGACTGTGAAACGTGTATCACGTACATTAATTATGAATTTTCATCGAGTTGATTTCATGAAACGATTCGGGAAACCGTCGAGTTCTAGGACGATGTACTGTGAGAATTCTGACTCGGTGGCCTGAGAGAGTCGCCAAGCAAGGTCGTATTGGAAATTACACTTGCAGTCTGTAATTATACATTACTCGCTCGTGTTTACAACCGCCTTTGTGCACAGACGCATTCACGGTTTCTACAGCGAGCATGCTATCCTTTCCCTAGCATTCAGGCAATTTCACCACTCGCATTCTTTTCATTCGTATATACCAGTAACGAACAGGCGCTACAAAAACCGTGGCCGATTAAAGGGGGAATAATTATCGTCAGCTGCTTCTCCTTGCTCTTTCCCTTGTTTCATTTCGTCTTCTCGATCCTACTTTGTGTTCAATCTTTCTTCTTTTCATTTCTTTTGTTGTTTTCTCATTTTACTTATTTTCTTTTTTAGAAACGACAAATGACAAGACGATTTTTCTTTCGTTCTGTTAAAATTGGTCAGGTAAATGGATTGCATAATCTTATCGGAAGATAGTTTGTCGAATAACATTGGGGATTTAAATGCCAATTATTTCATATCAGATAATTATAATTAATCTTAATAACATAGATTTGAGAAAAATCTATTTATTATCATGTTAAAATCAGATTTATTGCGTCGTATAATTTCTTTTTACAATAGATCCTTATGAATATTTTTTAGCATCTTAAAGGACGTTTATTTTACGTCCATTTTAAATTTAAACGTCTTACAATCCTTATCTCAATAAACAAAAAAAAATGATAAATAATAATAATTCAATTAGATTTGATTTGTTTGTCTTCTAATATTAAATTTTAAGTTCAAGAAAAAAAAAATACTCCTATCAAATGGAATAATATAAGATAATCGAACAGAAACTGATATAATTATTTCTGTGATATAATTATTCTGTTAGTAAAATAAAATAAGTAAATATATAAATATATTCATAATTCAAAGAAGGATAATCTCTTCTTTAAACGTATTGATTCATAATATAAATGTAAGATATTCAAAAGACATTTTGTGTTATTTGAGTATACTGAATAATTTAAATTTTTTATAGCTGGATTTTTTTTAAACAGTAAATAATTTTTCTAACGCATAATTTTTTTTCTTCACAGGTTTACCTAGTGTCACATCGCTGTCTTACAGTGAGTCGGATAAAATTTACGATCAGAAAGAAGGAACGTGGCTCTTCGGAACTCGTGATACGCCACTGATCGTATCGCGTTGGAAATCCCACCGATTCCTTCGTTTACGACCGTGTCGTTCGCGTTTTACCTTCACTACCTTTCACGGTCACGTGGTCGAGACATTAGGCGACCTGTTAGAGAAAACAGCGATTGTCTCTGCGCCAAATTGCAGGAATCCCAGAGTGGCGAGTGGTCTCGCGGCTCAAAATCGGGACACGAGAAACGTCGTGGCGTGATAATATCATCGTCGAGCACGATGGCTTGCGAATTCTTTAAGGTGAGTCGAGAAACGTCAACAACAAATGATGAAAAGAAAAATAATATAAAGAAAAAAAAAAATATCGAAACACTTGTCATTATTCATAGTTCGTGCACGTAATCGCTTGCCAATTTATCGGCAGTAATATTTAATAAGCAGCTAATTGTTTTGTAATTGTCGAATTATATACCTATATCTATTCCTATTTCTTACGAGATTACGAGATTATGGTGTTAATTGATCAAGATGAGAGAAGTCTCAATGATTCCATAATCGTTGCACCAGACCAGATTATGCATAAGGATGTTGCATACTCATTATGCATATACAGCTACGTATTATTTATTTCGCTTTTGTATCATTAAACGCTTCGAAGTGCAGTGCACGACGTTCAATCATCGATTCTGTGTTCTACTAATATTTTATTCATGTTTATAAACAACGAATTATACAGAATGATTCTCGATATTCTTCAAACCTTTGTATGCGATATGATTAAAGGGAAAAAAAAAAAAGTATAATACATTTCGTCGTATTTAACCGTATTTATATCTTATCGACGTGTAATTTATCACACAAAGCATCATCGGATCGTTATTAATCAAGGGAAAGGAAAAACTTCATTTGCTCAAATCCATGTTATTTCAGATGTGAAATTTCGTATCGGACGCGATGCTCGAATTTACTTAATGACAACGAACGATATTAATAATACTCGTTACTGTGGTACTTTAATTGTCGTTGGGAGACGAGCTCATGCATGTAAGAGCCCCGGCTTAATTACTGCAGCACGATCTTGCAGTAACTTGGTAACGTTGTTACCAATTTCACGTGTACATCGGGTGGAATGGAAATTCATAAGCTTCGTTTCGCTCTATGATCGATCGGTCGGAAGTTATTGAAATTTCGAAGAAATTTCTCGCTTATCTCGTTCAATACTTAACACCTATACCGGGAGCAAAATTTTCATTTCGATTAAATAACGGCATCGGTATAATTTTCCAGAATTCGTACAACATACATCTATCCATTTACGTTGGAACGGCTATACGTTTCGCGAGCAACATTTCTCTGTCAGCGAGCAAAAAAGTTGCCCTGACTTTCGTGCACGCTCATGATACGTGAGCCGAGTTTCCGTGAATTAATTAGCGTGCCTCCTCGTTCTGGCTATTACGTCAGACTTTCACCGAATTGACACGAGAATCGTTCTGATTAATTTGGAATGAACCAGTTATGGACACTACCCTATGGCGGTCTGACTGCACGTCAAATCGAATTGTCAGGGAACGCGGTAACGTGAGCCAACACGCATACACGTTCACCGTTGCTTTTCCTATACACGGTCAAACATATTTTCTTTGTTTCTTTCCTTCTTCATGTCGTTATATAATTCTAATTGAATCCGCTTTCTGCGTGGCTGAATTACTATTTGCGCACTCGAAACCACGCTTGTAACGAGGCGTGCCGCATAATAATAATAAAAAAAAAAAAAAAAAAAAAA